TCTCTCTCTCTCTCTCTCTCTCTCTCTCTCTCTCTCTCTCTCTCTCTCTCTCTCTCTCTCTCTCTCTCTCGCGCGCGCGCGCGCGCGCGCGCGCAGCTCCCCGCGCAGCAGCTCCCGCACGCTCCCTCGCAACTCCCCCCGCAGCAGCTCCCGCACGCTGCCGCACAGCTCCCCGGCCACACACACACACACACACACACACACACACACACACCTCTCTCTCTCTCACACACATACACACACACACACACACACACTCACAATCAATCAATCAATCAATCAATCAATCAATCAATCAATCCCTTTTTTTCAAGTTTTTTGTTTATTTATTTTCAAATTTTGCATCTTTGTTTTTCTAAAACACCTCATACCCCTGCAAAAAACAGAAATTCATTTCTAAAAAATACAGGTGAACTCAGGGACCATATATCTGATGATAAAAAATGACAAAAAAAAATTCCAGCTTTTCTTTATATATATATATATATTTTCAAAAAATCCTAAACATAGTCGGATTCCAAAAAAAAAAAAGGGGGGTTGTAGGGCTTAAGATTCCCTACAACCCCATATATTTTTTGTTTTTTTGGCCTATTATTTAATTAAGGAAAAATCTGGTAAAATCGGGTCCGCGGCGCGGACCCGGTAGGCCGCGGAGGCGGCCGTGAATACGTCCGCCCTCCGAGCTCGGCCCCGCGGACGCGTCCGCGGGTGTTTCATAGCGTACGAGGTTACATTGAGCACCACGACGTCTCCCAAGGCGTGGACTTTCCCTGGTCTAAAGACGACATTTGTCATTCTCCCGACCGATCGGATCTTTTCCTCGTCTTCCGAGATCAGGCAGAACCCGTCGGTGAGTGGGATCAGATCCTTCCTTCGTCCCGCCCTCTCTACTACTCTCAAGGATATGGCCAACACGGCTGCTCCGGAATCGATGATCGCGCTATACGACACTCCCCAGATTTCCTCATCACATTCCGCAGATTTCCACAGAATGGTTTTAATGCGTAGAAAGTGATCGCTTTTCTGTATGAGCCCAAGGCGCACGGGTTCCGAGGTTCCGGGTACGTTTGTTTTCGTTTCTTGAACAGGGAATTTCCCTTCAACTGTCGCCAGCTTGGCAAGTGCGAATCGTCTTCGGTTAGCCTTGCAATGCTGGAGCATACGATCGTTGGTTTGTTCCGATATGGACAACAAGTGATCTAAGGCTTGGACGATGGCGAGCACATTGATCTTTCCAGTGATGAACTCGGGGTCACCAGATTCCAAATCACCGGGGGATGGTCGCCATTCTGAGAAATGTCGTTCGTCATCCGCCGGCTGGATAACCCCCATCATACCCAGCCCCGGATATCCCAAGGAGAGGAACTCATCGAGCGGGATGAGCTCCGCGGCCTCGTCGGTAGCAACTGCTGTCGGCACTACTCCATCAATTTCCTCTACTACCGTCCCTGCCCGTCCAGGTCCGTTAGCCAGGGGGAGTGCCGCTACTGGGGCTGCCCCTACTCGTACTTGTCGCTGGGGACAATCTCTTGCCATGTGGCCGGATTGATGGCATGCGTAACACGTGTCAGTTCGGGGAGTCGTGCCCGCACCAGCCCCCGTTGCTGCTGTGGCAGGCGCTTTGGCAGGAAGGGGGCCGACGCGAACGTTAATGGGACGCATGGAGCGCATCATCGATTCCATTCGGGCGTTATACTCGCGCTGCTTCTTCTTGCTTTCCTACATAAGGCTGACTAACGTACGCGTGAGGTTCAGTATCGCTTTTGATTCGTCCGCCCTCCCCGTTGGGGCGGGTAGCTGTGCCGGTGCCCTTGCCACTAAGGGTCCCGCTCCCTGATCAAGGGGGGGTCACTGAGTTGCCACCTGTTCCAAATAGGTGACAGGTCCTCATACGAAGCCCATATTTTCAAATTTGTGCTGAAGTGCGGCTAATTCCATCTTTGCTTTGGTTAGTTCCGCGGGATCCCCTTCTTTAGCGTGATCTTCTCCTTCAAGGAAGCTGGCAGCGAATTTTCGCTCCATCTCCTCCGCTGCGTCCATGATTTGTCATGGTGAAGGTAATGGGGGAAAATTGTTTTCGCAGCTTGGCCCGTATTGCTCTGCTTCGGAGCCCGTCTATGAAGAAGTCTCTCCCTACCTTTTCGTCTCTCTGGGATCTTACAAACAGTCGGTAAAATCGATTGCGATATTCCGCAATAGACTCGAGGGGCTTCTGCACTTGGTCTTTGATCATGAAGAATGACTGCTCCGGGTGAATGTAGTCGAATCTATGGAGGAAATCTCTCTCAAAGGTAGGGAGGTCAATCCATACGTAGGTGTTGAACCAATGGTGGGCATCAGCCCCTAATCGGGCGGGGATATTAATTATCGCCCCGTCGTTATCGTACTACTATGCTCGGAGAGTGGCAAACCACGCTCCTGCCAGATGGTGCATTAGGTCGAACAAATACAGATCTGGCGGGGCTACCGGGGTGCGGACACGTGCAAACTGAGGGGCGGTTTGGGGGGCGAGTACGAGGCCATTACCTGCCCCTCCCTGTGCCTGGTGAGCCTGCGCTTGATTAGCGTTGGCCTGATTGCCATTCATGTTATCAGTTGATCTGCCTGCAGACCGGCTTATTGTCACTATATGTTCGCGTGCCGACGCGTTCCCTGGCGCAAACCGTC